TCTTCGTCCCTCTCCTCTGCCGCAGCGTAGCTGCGGCGGGTCCACTTGTTTCTTTAACAGAATTTGTTTCATGCAGAGAGAGTGAGAGAAGGGCGATGAGAAACAGCGCTCTCGCCTCTCTCTCAAGTCTCCCTTCCTTTTTCTTTTCCATTTTATCTTTTTAACACCCTCCTCATATGAGACCAGCGCTCTCGCTCCATGAAGAAACACGACCTTAAGACTGTTGCTTCTTTCCATTCTGCAGAGCTGTTGAGGGATCCAGTTCACACCACTCCGTCATATGCTGATTTGTCGAAACTAAAATTTCCTGCAGCTGAAGAAATCGAACTCGCGCCCACCAGGCCGGTACATCAAAATTACGACCTGCTTCTTAACGGCCACAAAGTTTGGAGAAAGGGGGGGGGGGGAGGGACTCGAAGTGGTAATTGAAGCGAATTGGTCGCCAAAGATGTTCTCATATGGAATTTCCTCTTTGAATTATCCCACCAGCCTCAACCATATGTATGGAACTCAAACAGGCTCCATCCTGTCACCTGTGACTGGTTATTCAAGCATGGAAGAGGATCTCCTGTTTGGCGAACCTTGCAAAAATGATAAGGAAAGTTGAATGTTTATCTCGGCATGTTCCACTAACATTGGAATGCATCAATGTCCTTCGTGTTGTGGTTGTGTTTGAAGGAACGAGAGAGGATTCTTCACCTTGTGGAGATGGTAGACAAGGCCTTTGGCATTTCTGGTGTGGGCACTAGTTCATTGCTGTGGAAGAGGGGTGGTCATCCTCAGGTTCCCAGTACACTGGAATTGTTTCAGGAGGATGTTGAACTGAGCAAGCTCTGCCAGAAACTGAGGGTTTCCACAGGTGTGAAATATGGTTTTGGCGACAGTGGTCTTGGATCCCCCCCCTTCCCCCCCCCCAAGCCGTCCTCTGGACCATAAATCTTTTATAACGGACTCAGATTTGGAAATTCATGTGCGCCCGGCCCAACGAAGTTCAGTGGAAGTACGAAGTGCAACTAGCGAAGTACACACCCACATCGAAGCTGGCTTCCTGTGAAGAAAAATGAGGATGTGCCTCCTCCTTGCATCAGATAATAAAAAAAAAAAAGAAAACCGAAAGCATTCATGTGTGTGCGAGGCTACGCCTGCTTAGCCCCTACGGGCCCTTATTTGCAGCAAGGTCGGCCGCCCTAAGTGAAGGCAGGCACGACAGGCCCTCAGGGCCTTGATTTTCAGGGTACCCCGCAACTGGGGAAATTCAGGCAGTTGCGCAGCGCCAGTTGGTTGAATGAACTCAGGCCCTGGGCCGCCTGTCTGAATGAATGTAAAGCAGGCCCTGGGCTGGATACGGGTACCGGGCCTAGCACAGGCCGAAAGCAGTTGGGCACATGCGACCACTTCAGGCCCAAGGCCTGCGTTCCTCGTGACTGGGCCTCAGGCTACCGGGGCCTACTGGAAGCTTCCTGGACTGGACGCAGGCAGGCCACTTCGATATAGGGAAGGGCCTGCCTCCTCATTCGGCATTCGGGTGCTGGCTGCATGCTGCGCAAGCGCTGCTGCTGCGCTATTTGCTGGCTGGCGCCTACGCTCTCACGGGCGAGCAGGGAAGGAGCA